CAGACAGAGGACAGGAGACGGGTAGGGAATAGAAGAGACACAATAGACAGCAGACAGGGGAGGATAGGAGACAGGTAGAGGATAGAAGAGACACAATAGACAGCAGACAGAGGAGGATAGGAGACAGGTAGGGGATAGAGGAGACACAATAGACAGCAGACAGAGGACAGGAGACAGGTAGGGGATAGAAGAGACACAATAGACAGCAGACAGAGGAGGACAGGAGACAGGTAGCGGATAGAAGAGACACAATAGACAGAGGACAGAGGATAGGAGACAGGTAGAGGATAGAAGAGACACAGCCAACACCAGACCGACTTTGGAGACCAATGTCTGACTGCTGTTCGCAGCTCGGAGCCTCGAAGCAACTTGGAGGAGCAACCGACAGACCTTCTCGGGACCCCCCTCCCCTCCCCCCTCCCTTCCCCTCCCCCTCCCCTCCCCTCCCACCTACCCTCCCCTCCCCCTCCCTACTTCCCCTAACCTTCCCTAACCCCCTCCCTCCCCCCGGACCCTTTCGGGAGGACGAGTTGCAGGCGAGGGTACGTGGGTAGGGCTGTGTACCTGTACAGGTACAGGTCCGGACCTCAACACCTGGTGTACCTCAACAAAGTAAAACCACTGGACACTAAATGTAAGACTGAAAAATGTTTGCCAAATTAGCACTAAAGATGAATACTTTGAAAACATAAGATACTAAAAAATCACAAAAATTAACAAAGGACTCATAAATAAAATATCTTCTTTAAAAGATTTATCTATAACTTTTTAAAGCTATCTATACTATCTAAACAAAAAATTCATAAAATACCTTCTTTAAAAGATTTATCTATAAGTTTTAAAAGGTATCTATACTATCTAAACAAAAAATTCATAAAATACTTTCCTTAAAAGATTTATCTAAAACTTATAAAAGCTATCTCTACCTATAAAAGCTATCTCTACTATCTAACCAAAGGATTTATAAAAGAACGTTACAAGATTTACGTTTTAAGTTGAAACTCTAATTAAAAAGTCACTAACTAAACAAAAGACCGCCCGTGACAAGAAGTGGAGTTGTGTCCGCTGTCCGGTTGTTGGTGGGTCATTACTCCTGACTGGGGAGGCAGAAGCCTGAAGAAGGCGGGATTTCCGACGGGTTTGGTCCCGCCTCCAACAACACTCTTCTCAACATCAAAATAAACATTAGAAAAAATAAACAAACACTTGAGCTTTCTGTCACTAGCCCTGCAAAACTACTTCCGTCATTCTGCCTAAAAAATATGAACTAATGTAGATGAAGTAGATGAAATTTCGCTAATAGCTGTCTGTGTATAAAATATGTGGGTTTGGATAAGCCCTATAAACATTATACAGTTCTTTACAACACTTAATCTTTGTCACTCAATCTGTGTGCAAACTTTCCTGCTTTCTTGTGGGGCATCTCACATCCTTACATACAGATATTTCAGTGGGGCGTTCGTATTGTAGCACTGTCCTGTTTTCAGGAAATAAAGACTGAATTTGTGCCTAGATCTTAAGAGGTTTGGGGAACATACATACATTTTCTTACAACCAAAAACAAAATGTCCCCAAATTTGATTCAGTCTCAAAACTGATCTCTGATCTAGTACAGCTTCATATATTTATGCGAAGCACGAGAGAGGTTCTCCTCTACTTTACGTTCCACATTTGCTGTTTCATTTTGGGGATATAGAGTAAAAATCCATATTCAGATACGAGTACTTTAATACTTTCTATATTCATGGATGGAATATAGACCTTTCAAATTCGCATCTCAAACTTTGAAGGGTTTTTAAGAAGATAATCTTCTCACAACCAAGAATTGGTCCCCGAATCAGCATCAA